GGCGCACTGTCGTGGGACACTCTTGTAGGGCACTCTTGTGGGACACTCTCGTAGGAAACACTTTTGTGGGACACTCTTGTGGAACACTCTTGTAGGGCACTCTTGCGGGACACTCTTGTAGGACGCTCTTGTGGGACACTCTTGTCGGACACTCTTGTGGGACACTCTTGTAGGACTCTTGCGGGGCACTCTTGTAGGACACTCTTGCGGGACACTCTTGTGGGACACTCTTGCGGAAGACTCTTGTAAGACACTCTTGTGGGACACTCTTGCAGGACACTCTTGCACGGCATTCTTGTGGGACACTCTTGCGACGCACTCTTTTGGGACACTCTTGTAGGACACTCTTGTGGGACACTCTTGTAGGACACTCTTGCGGGACACTCTTGTAGGACACTCTTCTCGGGAATTCTTACGGGATACTGTTGTGGGACAGTCTTGTAGGACACTTCTATAGAACACTCTTATGTGAGCCTTGTAGGACACTCTTGTGATCTCTTGTGGGACACTCTTGTCGAAAATTTTGTGGGCCCTCTTGTCGAACACTGTTGCGGACAAGTCTTGTGGAAAAGTCTTGTGGGACAATCTTGTGGGCCACTCTTGTGGGACACTCTTGTAGGATACGCTTGTCAGCCACTCTTGTGGGACACTCTTGTCGGCCACTCTTCCGAGGACACTTTTGTGGGAACACTCTTGCGGAACACCCTTGTGGGACACTCTTGTGGGACACTCTTGTAGGACACTCTTGTCGGACACTCTTGTGAGACACACTTGTAGGAGACTCTTGCGGGAACCTCTGGTAGGACTCTTGTGGGACACTCTTGTATGTCACTCTTGTGGGACACTCTCGTAGAACACTCTTGTGCGTCACTCTTGCGGAACACTCCTGTAGGACTCTCTTGTGGTGCACTCTCGTGGGACACTCTTGTAGGGCACTCTTGTGGGACACTCTCGTAGGAAACACTCTTGTGGGACACTCTTGTGGAACACTCTTGTAGGGCACTCTTGCGGGACACTCTTGTAGGACGCTCTTGTGGGACACTCTTGTCGGACACTCTTGTGGGACACTCTTGTAGGACTCTTGCAGGGCACTCTTGTAGGACACTCTTGCGGGACACTCTTGTGGGACACTCTTGCGGAAGACTCTTGTAAGACACTCTTGTGGGACACTCTTGCAGGACACTCTTGCACGGCAATTCTTGTGGGACACTCTTGCGAGGCACTCTTGTGGGACACTCTTGTAGGACACTCTTGTGGGACACTCTTGTAGGACACTCTTGTGGCACACTCTTGTGGGGCACTACTACCAAAGCCTCCAACAGTCAACTGTCTCCAGAACGAGCGTTTCGTTCGAGACTTCCCCCAAAAGTCACACGTCAAGTCTAAGTCTGCAAAACGAGCATTTTGTACGAGACTTCTTCTAAAATTCACTCGTCAATTTGGGGAGCGTTTCGCGCGAGACTTCCTCAAAATCTCACACTTCAACTTCAAGTCTGCAATCGTTCGAGACTTCTTCCAAAAGTCACACTTCAAGTCTGCAAAACGAGCGTTTCGTACGAGACTCCTCCAAAACGCATGTGTCAAGTCTTTAAAACAAGCATTTCGCACGAGACATCTTCCAAAATTCACTCGTCAAGTTTCCTAAACGAGCGTTTCGCACGAGACTTCCTCCAAAAGTCACGCGTCCACACTTCAACATCTCACGTTTACACCCGTTTCCTTGCTATTTCACACGAATGTGACACGTCATGCTTCCCAAAATCTTCGCCCAATGTCAGCGCCATAGCGCCCTACCGCGGACGGCTGCGGTCGGCTGCGAACGGTTGATAACGGTTGCGGTCGCTCAGGCAACCAGTCGCGAACAAGGCTCTACCCCCAGACCCCCAGAGTTAAACGAGAACCCCTCGCTACGGATTCAGGAATAAGCAGGATTCAACATGATTCAACTGGTCTGAACTCCTGAGTGCTTCAAAGGAATCAGACTATTTGTATGGCCTGTCCCTTAAATAACTATTCCATGGTCCGGGTAACCCCCAGGAATAATTTTCTGGGAATAGTTTAAAAAAAAATTGACTTGGAATAATCTATTTTGACTATGGAGAAACTAGACCAGGGGGTACCATGGAATAATAATCCAGACGAACCTCTGCCTACCGCAGAATATTTTTTTAAGGGAGTGCCTCCAGACTTCACAGATCGAATCAGCTGTTTTGGAATTCGTTGTGTTCGCAATGCAGAGCTGGCGAATGATTCGAGATTCTGGCTCAAACACGCCATATACCAATTTCTCACATCTTCACATTGGCCCAGGCCCTATGAAGGCATCGCCAGACACAGACAGCCCACCTCCCTGCGCACTTAGCCCGCACTGGCCACCAGTAATGAGAAAATTATTATTCTGGGGTCCCCAACCCCTGTTGGACATCAGAACAAATTGCTCC